TGCACAATTCACCATAGCTAAGATATGGAAACTATGTGCCCATCAGCAGATGAGTGGATGAAAAAACTGGTACATCTACACAATGGAATGCTACACTGCGGTAAAAATAAGGAATTGTTACCATTTGCAACAACATGGATGGAACCGGAGAGCATTATGCTAAGCGAAATAAGCCAGTAGAGGAAGATAAATATCACATGATCTCACTCATTTGTGGAATATAATGAAGAACGTAAACTGATGAACCAAAACAGATCCAGAAACAGAGAATCATTGATCAGACTGTCAAACCTCAGAGGAAAGGTAGGGGAGGGTGGAGGTAAGTGGGAGAGATTGACCAAAGGACTTGTATGCATGCCTATACACCTAACCAATGGGCACAACAGGGGGGTAAGGGCATGAGTGTGGGGGAGGGGGCAATGGGGGTATAAGAACACATATGTAATATCTTAAATCAAGAAAGAAATAAAAAAAGAAAACATGAAATACTATTCAGCTTTAAAAAAGAGGGATCTCTTATCCTTTGGGACAGCATGGATGGACCTGGAAAACATTATGCTAAGTGAAATAAGCCAATCTGAGAAAGAGAAATATAACATGATCTCACTTATTTGTGGAATCTAATGAGCATAATGAATTGACCAACAAAATAGGACCCAAAGCATGGAGGCATGGAACAGACTGACATACATTGATGTGGGGTTGGGGGGGACAATAAGAGATAAATTAAACAACTTATATGCTTATAGGCATAGCCCATGGACATGGGCAAGAAGGTAGTGAAGATATGGGGGATGGTTAGGGCCTGTTTTGATGGGGATAGAGGGGAGGAAAGTGGAGATATCTATAATACTATCCTATCTAATAAAAGAGAAACATGGTAATTAGCGTACAACCGCTACCCTTCCCATTGGCTAATCAGGGCAATATGCAAATTAACTGTCAGCCAAGATGGTGGCCGGCAGCCAGGCAGCTTGAAACTAACATGAGGCTTGCTTGCTTCAGTGACGGAGGAAACCAATG